TGGTGTTGTTGTTGTTGTTGTTGTGGTTGTTGCTGTTGTTGTTGTTGGCGTTGTTGTTGTTGTTGTTGTTGGTGGTGTTGTTGTTGTTGTTGTTGTTGTTGTTGTTGTTGTTGTTGTGTTTGGCGTGTTTATTTTGTTTGTTGTAGTTGTTGTTATGGTTGTTGCTGTTGTTGTTTTCTGTTGTCGGTATTGTTGGTGTTGTTGGTGTTGGTGTTGCTGTTTTTGCTGTTGCTAGTGTTCTTGTTCGTTTTGTTCGGAGAACACCTTCTCCCGTCTCACGCATCGGCCTAAGTACGTGTTCAAAAAGAAGGGCCTAGGAGATTTGAGGGCTTTCGCACTGGATGCCTTCACTTCTTGTCGACCACCATTTTGCTGAATTGGACAGTCCCCAAATCTTCGAGGTCATAAATGTTTGGGGGAGAAACCCTCATCCCAGAAACGCTCAGAGAGCAGCCCTGGTATCGGAAAGCAAGCAGGGCAGCACCACTTAAATAAGTTTACTGCAGAGAGTTTGAAATCGGTGAGAGGCACGGGTTCGCGCTGTTCCAAAAGTTGGGCAGCACAGTCTGCCAGGTCGCCCTGTGGGAGGATCGAGGCGCAGACAGCTCAGGTATGAGATGCGCCGCTTTGTATTATCGCCAAGCATTCTGGAGTAGTGCCGTCAGTAAACAGCGAAGGCCTTCGGGCAGGATTCCCAGACAGGCCCACCTAGAGCCACGACACTGTCAGAAAACTGTTCGCAAGGTGGCAGCCTCGTTCCAGGTAATATGGGTCTCGCTTCCCACGTTCTACAACGGGAACAGAAACAAGTAAAGACTTCTCGGAATGCACGTCGAGCTTGAAATCTCAATGCAGGTTGTCCATCTATTGAAACAGGATGTTAAGACCTTCAGAAATCCTAGAATCACTTCGGATACTATCCTAACACTTCGGGCCAGATGAAGGAATCAGAGAACACTACAACCTGGATAGATCGGAGACAAATTAAAAATATCATGTTCATGCTGTTGATGAGCAGCTTGGAAGTGTTCCGCATAATTCAGGAAATATTGATTTAATGTTAAGCCGTTAAGCGTGATTGCCACTTATTTAACAGAGCTAGGATAACATAGAGGATTGCAAGAACTGCTTGCAATATAGAAAGAAGTCGGCCAAGACAGAGGCAAGTAAGTCAATCATTTGTGGGATTGTAGATACGTAGATACTTGTAGAGATATGCTTACACATTGTGGTAGTGGAGTTGTTGAACCTATCGATACCGAAAACATACTGCTCGTTTTTAAGTGGCAGGATCCTGACAGTTGTTAAGCCTCCACTGGTGAGTGTCATGCCATTGATCTGCTCAGTTTGCAGATCTAAGTAGCAATATGTGAACATGAACTTTCGCCTTTTTTATATGCTTTTTGCAAAGCAGAACTGGGCCTGGAAGGATCCCTCTCCATAAGATGCTTCGGAGTGCATCGTTCCCTTTGCGCTGCTTCAGAGGGAGCCTGCAGAACCCATCAAAGTGATCAGTAGAAACACAACAGTCAGGCCCGGAGGACATCAAAAACCGAGACAAGAAAGTAAGCCCCCATGTAAACACAGGCAAGTTCATTGCCGCCCGTGCGACACACGAAAGACCACTGCTCGAGGTTCCGCTGCGACGGCTGGGTCGGCAGCCCGCACTCCCCATGGTTTCAGGTTTACTGGAGTTGGGGTTACGGGCGGTTGCGGGTCCTGTTTCAAGACTGTCCGATAGCTGCAGCTTTGTGTTTTTATGGATTCAGGGCTCGCGATCTTGATTTGTTTAGTGCCGGAATAAGATCCAGCATTTGAGATCCGTTGCATTTGTACATGTTGAGTTCGGTGTTGCCTTTGATCCGGTCTCATCCAGCTTGACCTCGCCTTCATCTATGTCGCGTGCTTTAGGTTTGCAAAGGTGTATCACCGCGCAAAGACTCCTATTGCACCGTGCCTCGTTGGAGGATAGGGTATGTATCCAGAAGCGTCTTCTGTCCGATGCAGTTCTACGATCAACAGTCAGCTTATTATAAAGGCCTCGAACTGTTGTGTACGGCATGACTTCAAGATTGACATTATACAACCAAGAGTTCACACAGAACTGATGAATTGTGTGCATAACGGAAGTCCGAGCTCGATCTTGGGTCCTGAAGTCCGAAACCCATACCCTTGCCTTCCGAGGCTCTCAGCGAGAGCGGCTAGAACTGGTATCCCGCCTTCAGAGCTTGGAGCAGAAGGACGGACAGGAGCTGAGGCAACCGACATGAAATATCCTTGTTGTCTCGCACGTCTTTTCCTGTGGTCTGTGTTATGTGTTTGATGTTTGTGTGCTGCTTATGGACACCGCATCGCCGCTTGTCTTGGTGTTTACACTGCTGGTGGTCACTGTCTGACTGTGCTGCTGCTGCCGTCCTACTCTTTCTGCCACTCTCACTCCCAGTCTGACTCCTACTCCTACTCCTCCTACTACTACTACTACTACTGCTGCTACTGCTACAGCAACAACAACTACTACTACTGCTACTACTACCGCCTCTCCTACAACTGCCACAACAACTACTGTTACTACTGTGTACTGCTGCTACTACTACTACTACTACTACTACTACGACTACGACTACGACTACCACTACCACTACTACCACTACCACCACTACCACTACCACCACTACAACTACCGCTACCACTACCACTACCACTACTACTCCTACTCCTACTCCTACTCCTACTACTACTACTACTTCTACTACTACTACTACTACTACTACTACTACTACTTTCTACTACTGCTATTACTACTACTGCTATTACTACTACTACGACTGCTACTACGACTGCTACTACTACGACTACGACGACATATACTACTACGACTACGACGACTACGACTACTATTACTACTACTACCACCTCTAGTTCTAGCACTAGTAGCAAGACCGCTTAAAACCAAAGCCCAAGCGCCACGTGGTTTACTTTTCAAGCGTTGGCAGATACTTCCAAGCTCATGGTGACTTCATATGTTCTTGCCGGAGATTTCTGTTTGATGGATGTCCCCTCAGATCCTGCCTGACTTTCCGCTCAACCGTAGAGGGGTCAGCAATGGCCTGCAACCGTGGAGGATTCATGGCAGAGATCGGAATCTGAATGTATGCCCGCGTCAAAGCACGCAGATACGTAACTTCAGAAGCCATGTCTGGTGTGTGGTGGCGGCATCTAGCGTGACAAGCTCGTCCTCCGGCGACAGATGCCGCAAACACCGCCAGACGCTCTCTTCGGACAGTATGGATTCTCAGTTGCCTAATCCAGCTCGGGCCTCGTCTCCCAGGACTCGCATCAGGTTCGCCATTTTGACCTGGCGGGTTAAACAAGTGGAAAAGCGCAACTCAACGGTTCGTCCCGACTCCCCCATGTTTGCCGCTTATGCGACGCGGCTCGGCAGGCCTTCGGCGGCGGGGCCTGCAGGATACCCATCTTAATCTTGTCGCGAATCTCCTGTGTTCGCTCCTGACCTCGATGCAGAGCGATCGGTCCAAGTTTTTGAGCAACGTCGCAACCACGCAAATGGAAGTGGTAAACGATAAGAGCCGCACGCTTCAAGCGTCTGAGCTTTTTTCGCTCCTTCATGCTTGTACGGTAGCTACGACGCGATCTGTGGGGGTATTGGTGCACCATCTTCAAACTACAACAACGGACTGGTGCGCACCCACTTTGGTCTGGGCTTCAGATTTTATTGATGGTAAGAACTGCGCCCTTTTGCATCTGCAATAAGGAAAACAAACTGGCTCCAGGTGATGTCAGAGAGGGCGGCAACACTGATCCCAAGACAGGCCCCGCCGAGTGTGTCACTTGGCCAGTGGGCATCAGCCAGAACACGTAAGGATCCCATGAGGACCCACGACAGAATCGCAGCTGTCATCCACATTTCGGTTGACGCAAAGCGCTCTGTCGATTTCTTTTCCAGCTTGGGCAGCAATACACAGAAGACGAGCGCTACACAGAAAGCAAATCTCGCAGTGTGTGCGGAAGGGTACGAAAAGTCTGTCAACAGCGCAGTCGGTCGGCTTCGATGAAAAAACTCTTTCAATAGCCGCTGAAGGAATCTGATACCTTCAAGACCTGCTGCTGACGAGAAAACCCATGGTAGGCCTCCATCTGCAAGTAGCATACTGGATGAGACAATCGCCACCAAGACTGCCACTGACTGGGCGGCATCGTCCAAGCGATTTGACACGACGCCAAAGAATTGGTGATCCTCTTGCGAGAGTGCACTTGTGAGCTGATGAATAGAGCCATCCATGTCCACGATAAGCGATCCCAGTGATCCCGATGGACCTGTCAAAACCCCCAGCAAGACTACTTGCCCGGCAGCTGCAAAGAGGATCTGCTGAGAAGTCCGTGGCCAAGTTATATTCGACGCACTTCTTTTCGGGGTGCTCTCAGGCGCTCCGGAACGAAAGCGGCACCGACACCGGTCGTGCAGGGCTCTGCACTTGGGTCTGCGTGTGTGCAGGCCCGCGAGGCACGCCGCCACAGAGAGGATGCACCCTGGTTGTAGTGGGCTTCGCACTGCACTTTGCGGCTTTGCAGCAGACAGTTGCGAGTCCAACAGCAATCTCGGGCAGCTGCTCGGCACGAGGTGTTGTCCCGAAAGCGGCTGGCAAAACTGCAGCATCCTGTTTACTAAGCACCCTGTACGCATTTAAACTGCCTTGCTGTTGAAACTCTGTGAATGTCGTGGGGTGGTCGCGAGGTTTGAAACATACCCTGGACAAGTTCGCAGCTTAAATCGGTATGTGACGAAGCAACACAAATTGCCGCTCGTCCGTCGGAAAGAAACGCTGCATGTTGCTCACCGGCATATCACAACAGAGAGGACTGCCCCCGAAATCAAGTCTTCCCGACATCAAATTTGGCATCCTGCACCCTGAAGCCCAACCCAGCGTCCTTGGGCGTCAGGTGCATCATGGCAGCTTCTGGTGCCTCTTTCTTGGGGCTTTGGCATGTTAAATGTCGGAGCTCTTGGGCACTTGCAAACCAGAAGAGTGCTCCGTTCTCAGCATGCAGTAACACTCTTCATGGCTCTTAAAGGTCACCCGTTGTCGTTGCAGTTGCTGTTGTTGTTGCTGGTGCTGGTGCTGGTGCTGGTGCCGGTGCCGGTGCCGGTGCCGGTGCCGGTGCCGGTGCCGGTGCCGGTGCCGGTGCCGGTGCCGGTGCTGTTGCTGTTGCTGTTGCTGCTGTTGCTGT